TAGGCATATTACCGGGTCTCATCACCTTGTTGGGGGCTTTGCCAGTGTTCGTTTCATTACCCGTTTCGTCTATTTGCTATCTGCTATCCGTGCCATGTGACCAGCCTATCTTTTCTTGCTGGCGTACATTGTTTCGATAATGTTCTTTGCCAGATCTGCCTCGGATCAACTCATTAGGAATGGCCATTCACTTGGTTTTAATGGTATTAACTGTGAGCCCGGTTTTTGTTTGTCGTCGATATGAGCTCACGTAGCAGATTCTGCAACGATTGAGGGCTTTCTTGACAAGGACTGTGTCGTCTGCAAAGAGTAGCATTTGCAATTTTTCGCCACCGATACTGATTCCGTCTGTTGGATCCGTGCTTCTGAGAACGCCTTCTAACGCGCTGGTGAAAGCTTTTGGGAAACAGATGTTACCTTGTTTCACACCTCGTTTTACTTCTATTAGTACAGGACCATCAAAGAGGGTGATTTCCATATACAATCCTGTCATGGAGTCTTTGATAACAGCAAGGTTGGAGCCTTAGCTCATGAGAGCATTGAGTACTATGTTTCGTTTAGTCGAGTCGAAGGCTTTTCTGAAGACAATGAAAAGCAAGCATAACATAGTGGAAGTTGTATTCCCGGCACCTCTCTATCTTGTTAGCGCAAAGATGTGGCCAATTATGGAGAATAGTTTCCTGAATCCCGCTTGCTTTTTTCTTGTACTTTTATCAAGAATTTCTTCGATTCAAGAGTATATCGCTCGCATAAGGTCTTGTGCATATGGGATAATTTGCGATGTTCTCCAGGTCTCATTTCTTCGGCAGCAATATGGTTTTAGATCCACTTTGCTTGTATTGTACCTGTTTCCAGATGCCAGGTGAATCGTGGACTAGGTGTTTTTGTTGTCGTTTCACCACTGGCTTTTAGTTCGTCGACATGGATTCGGTCCAGACCGGCTGCCTTGTTCGGCTTTATGGATTCGACCTCGCTGGGAGGGATAACGGATGCAGTGGAGAAGTGTGGGGCTCTGAACATTGACAGACGATGCAAATAATTCATCAAAATTTCTGCAAATAGTCTCCACGCGCCTCCGATTCGCTGTTCTCTTTTCATTCTTGTCAAAGAGCGCCACAGGGATGTTCTGACGCAGCTGCACTCCTCTCCATGCTTTCTTTTGTGCTCATTCTCTGCTCGGCTCCCTGTTTTATCTTCTCCTTTCGGTAATTGTCGTAATATTCTGTCATTCGCCTTAACACTTTGAGCAGAAATTTATACTGCAGACCGATATCGCCTTTCGGCTCCATTTTTCTTCTTTCCTTCACCTTGCCCAGTTGCCTTTCGGCTCCCTTTGATATGCATGTGTCCCGTCTCTTGACTTGATTTCCCCCTCAGTGATACTTAATGTAGTAATTAGAAGTAAAGTGGATATTGTTTTTGTGCCCCAGAAAAGGGTGCAGCGTAGCTTGGAGCTGCTGTCGCCTCGATTGTTGCCCGTTGCCCGGTAGCAGCTTGGAGCTGCCGACGGATAGTTCAGTGATTCGTCTTTTTATGCGTTTTTTGCAGCTATGCAATACAGAAAACGCATATGACGAGCGGTTGCCTGTGTTTCTGTGTGTCTATATGTCCCTGTGCGCGTCTGTTCCGGTTTTTCATCTCAAGATCTACAAAAGCTACAGGGTTGAAACTTTGGAAACTTAATCTACATGAGCTTACAGGCCCCAGCCTCCAAAATGTGCGCTCTTACCCGCGTGGTACCCACGTGTGAGTCCGTGAAAGTTTTTTGCGGATGAGTCGCTAACTCGAGAATTTGAAAAGCTAGAGGACTAATTTTAAGAGGATGTTCCCCGTCCACGTAAGTTTCATTAAGCTCAAGCCTAGACACCAGGTATGCGTGGTACCCACGTACGAGCCCGTGAAAATCTTTTTTCGGCTCAATTGATAACTCGGGAATCTGAGAAGCTAGAAGATTGGAGCTTGAAGGGAATGTTCCCCATTCACGTAGGTATTAAAGAGCTCAAACCTAGCCCCAGGTATGAGTCATCCCCACGTGTGGGCCCGTGAGAGATTTTTTCGTGTAAGTTACCAACTCGAGGACCTGCGAAGCAAGAAGACTGAAATTTTGAAGAGATGTTTCCTGACGGTCCTGGCGGCCAGCCTGAAATTCTTTTGGCTAAAAGCATCTGGCGAAAAAAAAGTGCCGTTAGCGGCAAAAATCTGCTGGGAACTATGCGAAAAACGCATCTTCGCACGGACAGCGTGTGCGTTGGCCAATCATTTTACTGGGACTCCAAGCGATCTTACATCAGCACGAAATACCGCAAAAACGCATGATCACGCGGGCCCGCTCGGTGCGCGTCGCTAGTGGTTTTTTTGGCAGTAACTTAACTGTTCAGTGAGCAGCTTTCCTGCCAAAACTGGGTCGTCACAAAATGCGTCTTTGCGTTTATGCAAATGCAAACCAGGCTGGAATGCATCGGGCTTGCCGGTGCGTTAATGTGCTTTTTCACTAGAGTTGAAGTACTCAGATCGTCAACTGCACGTGCAGTTGTTACTTTATACCTGTCCTCTTCACCTGCGTAAATCATTACAAGTTTCGCATAAAGGAAATGAACATTTTCCATTTAACGGTCGTTCTTTGGAAGTGATTTAGTTATTCAGAAAGCAATTTTCCCGCCAAAACTTTTAATTGCCCGCAAGTAAAAGCCACGCGTGCCTGGAGGCTTAATTTGAAATATTTAAGTTGCACTTGGGCAGGGAACATTCCCCTAAAATTTCAGCTTTATAGCTTTTCTGGTTCCCGAGTTAAAAATTTTTCCCAAAAACTTTCACATGCCTGCACATGTGTGCCACGCGTGCAGGGGGCTGAATTTGAAATCTTTACGTAGTATATGAGCAGAGGATACACCCTTCAAATTTCAGTCTTCTAGCTTTTCCGGTTACCGAGTTAGCAATTTTCCCAACAAAACTTTCACGTGCTGGTACATGAGAACCACGCACAGCTAAGAGCTGAATTTGAAATTCTTAGTTCAAACATGCATAGTGAAGATCCCTGCAAGGTTTTAGTTTCCTATCCCTTCTGATTTTTGAGATCGCTTTCCCTCCAAAAAATCTGCATATTTTTTTAGGGCATCCGTACGCGGCAACTAGACGTACGCGAGTAATGATGTTAAAGTGGGAGGGTCGAGCATGGTGTGAGCATGTACTCCTGAAGTTTCAGCCTTCAGGATTTCCTAGTTTTCGAGTTGAAGGGGGTGACGAAAAGTGCGGACACAGGATACGCAAAAAACATACACAAAGGCGTTTTGCTAATATGCGTTTTTGGATTTGCATATTTGAAGATGAAATCCTCACTTTGTCTCCTCACCTCCCCAATCGAAATTACATAACGAAAAAATAAAACAACTTTAAGTTATCTTTCGATGACATTCCGCCTGAACGTCAGGAAGCGACGTTCATCTTAGAGATCGAATCTCCAACTCCATCTTCGCTCCAAAACTACCCTTTCCCTTGCCAATTTTCTCATCGTAGATTGTATCTAAAGCTGCATAGCCCATACCTGGTTCCAACGACATTCAACACTTTGCGCAGTTCTTCACCTCCATTAGTTCTCCAACAGTTTTTGAAATTTGGCACTTATGTGTGCAAGCCCTTGGCGTATATGAAATTTGATTTAGCCTTCGACTTTATCGGCAAAAATAATAATTGGCCAACGCATGGGCTGCCCGTGTGAAGATGCGTTTTTTGCACAGTTTCCCGCAGTTTTTGCTGCTACTGGCACCGGTTTTTTCGGCAAATGCCTCTAGCTAAACAAACCGGCCGCCAGAACTGTCAGGAAATACCCCCTTAAAATTTTAGCTTTCTAGCTTTTCCGGCTCCTGAGTTAGCAACTTACTGGAAGAAAATTTCCACGCGCCCATACGTTGGTACCACCATACACGATGTCTGGGTTTGAGCTCGTTGACTTGCGTGGACAGGGAACATCCTCCTAAAGCTACAGTCTTCTAGCTTTTCAGGTTTTCGAGTTAGCAACTTACCCGAGAAAAACTTTGGTGAGCCCGTGCATAGATACCACGCATACTCGAGGGCTGGGTTTAAGCAGAATGAGACTTAGGTGGACGGGGAATATCCTCTTAAAATTACAATCCTTTAGCTTTTCAGGTATTCGAGTTTTCAACTTACCCGAAAAAAAACTTTGGCGTGTCCGTACGTAGGAACCACGCGTACCCGGGGACTAGTTCGAAGCTAATTAAAACTTACGTGGACAGCGAACATCTCTGTGAAATTTCAGCATCCTGGGTTCTCAGGTCCCCGAGTTATGAACTTGCCCGGGAAGAAGTTTTGGCGGGCTCTTACGTGTGTGCCACGCGAGTGATGGCGCCCATTTTGGAGATTGGGGCCCGTACGTGCATATTGATTAAGCTCCCAAAGTTCCAGCCCCGTAGCTTTTGTAGGTCTTGAGATGAAAAGCCGTGACAGACGCACACACGGACACACAGATACACACATAGAGACAACCGCTCGTCAATATGCGTTTTCTGCATAGTATTGCTGAAAAAAACGCATAAAAGTATGTCGATATATGCATAGCTGTAGCTTTCATTCATTAACCAACAGACGGTGACTAGACGCAAAAGTTGCTATTGTTAAATCGCGCTGTCCAGTTCTTTACAAAAAGTAGGTGGCTCGATTTCCCAGCAATCTTCATGACCTTTTTCCTGCAAAACTAAACAACATAAGCACATAGTCGCCAAACACACACAGGCATACCGTTGCATATGCACGTATTTTGCACAGTTTTCGTAGCGGATTTTTGTCGTTAAGCAGCACGGTTTTCCCGCCAAGCAACACTGTTCTCGCTAAATGTGTTGGAAATACCTAGCGAAACGAAATTGCAAATAAACTTCGACAAATGGTTTCCATTTCTTCTTGTTCTAACCTTCTGTGTAATCGGAAATGCAGCATCGCTGAATGAAACCCAAAACGACAATTAAATTGAATAAAATCTGCGCAGAAAAATACGAACCACGAGCAAAAAAGTCACACAAACGAACAAATGCTGAACTTATTTTGAATCACATACTGTGGTTTATTCAGAAGATGTTTTATATAGTACTTTGAATGAGAAGAGATGCTATCAGAACGAAAAGATTTAGAGCAAGTACAGATACCAACGAAAAGAAACTGCTAGGAAATCTGCTATCGTCCAATGTGCATGTTGTCACATAAGGAAAAACAAGTTTTTACCATTCTGATTTCAAAACCGCTTTCCAATCAGTGGAACTCAGTGCGGTACTGCATGCTCCCTCAACAGTAAGTAATCGAAATAGCGCGCAACTGAGCTGTCAAAAATTCTTTTTCGTGTCTTGCACACAAAAACTGACAGAGTCGTAAGCACGACTGCATTTCTTTTATTATAGTCTTTATCGACGTACTTGAAAAATGCCTTACGAAAAACTGGGATAAAGAAGGGACTTTATAACGACAATGAAACACTCCAAATGCTAACTTTAACACAATACACAGTGCTCATTATCAAAAAAATTTTTACTTTTAACACAGATTTGTGAGCGCTGCAAAACCATTAAATGCGGTTGCAATCAGTGCAGCTCGGAAGTCCGCGAAGGAATTTGTCAGTGACGCCCACCAATTTTACTGGTGTGACTGGTTGCTGAACTGAAAGTGGGCGACAAAAGCGCGAGCACACACACGATAACCTCCATCAGTATCCGTTTTAGGCGTTTTTAGCATCTATACAATGCAAAAACGCATATCGTAGATGGGCTGTCCGTGTGTGTTTGTCTGTTTGTGTATGTATGTGTGTGTGTGTGTGTGTGTGTGTGTGTGTGTGTGTGTGTGTGTGTGTG